TCTGATTGGTTAGATCATCATCATCATCATAGAACCGCAGAGCTGGAAGGGACCCTATGGATCATCAAGTCCAACTCATGTCAAAGAGAATCGAACCCCCAAGCTATAGTCAGATTCCTAAACCACTGAGCTATCCAGTAGTTCTTGCTTAATAATACACCCTATGTTGAATGAGTTACATTTCTTAATCCCATAACTTTGCAGTTTCAGTATGTCTGGTACAATTTCAGCATTTCTGAATTTGTTAGTCTAGGAGTCAGCAGGTCTTCTCCATTTGCATTAATGGCTGGTTAATATCATTTAGCTTCTATTAGACAACAAGGCTCATATTAATAAGTTGCCAGCTTCCCTGAGAACAAGGCCCTTTCATTAAGCTATCAGGTCTGTCTGTCCTAATCAAAGCTTGCCTTATATTGTCCTCATCAGCAAAGTGCACCTTCCCCTTCTGCATGGAGAAGAGGAAACTGAAAGGGAAGAGGTGAGTCTTGAGGGCATGAGGGAAAATGAGACAGTTACCTTAGGCTTCTATTTGAATGTCTCACCATTCAGCAGTTAATTCAATGGTTAATTGCATTTAGCCCTTATTCTGTAGGTAGCGTATTCCATTTTCACTATCTCTGCGAAGATTCTCAGTCATCGTTACAGTATCTGGAAGATGAATCAAGGCCACTGGGCTTCTTTCCTATTAGGTTGAAACGTTTCGCTATTCATCCAAGTAGCTTCTTCAGTCTGAGCAGAGTTGGTAGGGGACCCCTGACATATCCTCCACATTGGTTTCCCTTCCCCCTGGTCTGAATATGCTCCTCAAGTCATTGGTTTCACTACCCCCTGGTCTGAATATGCTCCTCAAGTGGACAAAGGATGGGAGCAGGGTTTGTGTGTCTATATGCACATGTATGGCCTCCCCTCTCTTAAACCACCTGTCTTCTCCGTCCAAAATGAGTGCATCCTGGTTTATCAAATGAGTGTCCTTTGTTCTTCAGATGAAGGAACACTGCTGGTTGTGGTCTTGAGCCATTGCTGGCTCCTGTGCTGGGCCATTCTCCTGTTTAGTGACTGTTTGGTTTTTCCAATGCACAGCTCCAAACACTCCTCTTTGCATTGGACCCTATATTGCGCATGTTCTGTTTTGATGTCCTGTCTTTTGGGTGAATGAGTCCCTGCCTTAGTGCGCTTGTGGGCACACACAAGAAAGATCATTGTTAACAACTGTCAACGACCCATGACAATGGGTGGAGAAGGACTGCAGAAGTGGGATTATTCTGAGCATTCTGAGAGGTTACTCCTAATTCATAGCCATTGGTTTACTTGCTTACTGCATTCTGTTCTAAGGCAATAACCACAGATTCCTACAGGTGTATGGGGTAGTTTAGTGGCTGTTTGGTTTCTCCAATGTAGAGCTCTGAACACTCCTCTTTGCATTAGAGGAGTGTATACTATATTGCTCCTACTATGTTTTGGTGTCCGGCCTTTTGGGTGGACGAGTGGCCTTAGTGTGTTTGTTGGTTTGAAGTGCACAGGTATGTGGTGTTTACCAAAAATACACCCGCCATATAAGGAATGACCAGGTTCTTCTGTTGGCTCTGGGTCTCAGACTGTTCCATTGTCCTGCTGGGTCAGAACATTGCCTTGTTAAAGGCCTATTTTGGATATCCACAGGCCATAAGAGCTGTCTTCAGATGTCCTTCTTCTTGGCTTCTGTGGAGGTGGCGATGTTTCTTGCTCTTTAATATCCTGATGACCCCTAGTTTGTGTTGTAATGGGTAACAAGAGTCAAACTGCAGGTATTGATCAGTGTGTGCAGGTTTTCTGTAGATTTCTTTTCCTAAACTGCTGTTGGATCCTACAATGACTGCACAGTCCAGGAAAGCCAGTCTTTGGTGTCTTCCTTGGTGAACTTGATGTTTGGGTCCACTGCATTTATGTGATCTGTGAAGGTCTGTACTTCCTGAATCTTGATATCCACCCAGGTGTCATCCACATACCTGAACCAATGGGTCGGAGTCGTCCCCTGGAAGGTGTTTATTGCCTTCTCTTCCACGTCTTCCATGTATACGTTGGCAACAGTGGGCGACACCAGGGAACCCATGACACACCCAAGTTTCTATATGTTTTGGTGTCCGGCCTTTTGGGTGGACGAGTGGCCTTAGTGTGTTTGTTGGTTTGAAGTGCACAGGTATGTGGTGTTTACCAAAAATACACCCGCCATATAAGGAATGACCAGGTTCTTCTGTTGGCTCTGGGTCTCAGACTGTTCCATTGTCCTGCTGGGTCAGAACATTGCCTTGTTAAAGGCCTATTTTGGATATCCACAGGCCATAAGAGCTGTCTTCAGATGTCCTTCTTCTTGGCTTCTGTGGAGGTGGCGATGTTTCTTGCTCTTTAATATCCTGATGACCCCTAGTTTGTGTTGTAATGGGTAACAAGAGTCAAACTGCAGGTATTGATCAGTGTGTGCAGGTTTTCTGTAGATTTCTTTTCCTAAACTGCTGTTGGATCCTACAATGACTGCACAGTCCAGGAAAGCCAGTCTTTGGTGTCTTCCTTGGTGAACTTGATGTTTGGGTCCACTGCATTTATGTGGTCTGTGAAGGTCTGTACTTCCTGAATCTTGATATCCACCCAGGAGTCATCCACATACCTGAACCAATGGGTCAGAGTCGTCCCCTGGAAAGTGTTTATTGCCTTCTTTCCCACTTCTTCCATGTATGAGTTGGCAACAGTGGGCGACACCGGGGAACCCATGGCACACCCAAGTTTCTACCTGTAAAAGTCATCTCTGTAGGTGAAGTAAGTGGTGCTCAGAAACAGGGCTAGGAGCAGGCATATCTGGTCCAGGTTGAGGCCGCTTCTTGTGGAGAGGGTGTTGTCTTCTTCCAGTCTCCTTTTTACTGTTGTCAGGGCATCAGGGGTGGGAATGCTGGAATGCTGGTGAAGAGGGATGTGACATCAAGGGAAACCATGGATTTGTCAATATTTAGTTTCTGTTCGCTGACCTTGAACTCCTCTGAGTTGTGAATGTGGTGGTCTGAGGGTCCAACCAAAGGTGCTAAGATGGTAGCCAGGTATTTAGCAATGTTGTAGGTCACTGAGTTTATGCTGCTGATGAAGGGTCTGAGGGGGACTCCTTCCTTGTGAATCTTGGGAAGTCCATAAGGGCAGGGGAGAGGCCTGTCATGGAGCATTTTGTGTCGTGGGTGCCAAAATAATTTGGGTACTATACATCTTAATGTGCACCTTAGGCGTCTTGAGTTCATGGCTAATCCAAGGCATGCTTACTGACGTGGAGCAGCAAAATTTCCCACCCCTTTCCATATCAAGGTGCACAGCATCCAACACTGGTCAAATTATTTAGGTGCCCAAGGTGGAAAACCTCACAAGTGCCCCTTTCCTCCAGGGTCAAGTGCACTAATCCTAAATGAAATAATTAATAATATATTGCCTGTTTATGACACCCAAAGTCAGCTTGCTGAAGTGGGCA